ACATGGCTCTCTATTCCACAATAGTTTTGTGATTGTATATGGTTTAAAATCTGTGTTTGCAAATGAAGTTATGAATTTGGTTTGAAGATCAGAAATAGTTAAATTTGATGTCTAGAAATTGCAGATTCAATTGCTTCAATACAAGCACCAATAGGTTTGGCTTTAGCAATTGCTTCTGCAAGTGAAACTCTTGCTTCGCTGTGAGAATGTAATAAGGAGACAGTGTTGGAAACAGCCCATCTTATATGAGCCTCTTTCTCTGTTTCTGTGAACCCGAGCCAACGCAGAACATCGATTAACTGTAGCAACATAAAATTTCAAAAACCGTTATAGATTATAGTTTCACACTGCATTTGAAACTAGAAAAGGATTGAGATTGCATAAACCTTGACAACATCTGAGTAGAAACCTTCTGAGTATCCAAATAGTAAATGTTCGGCTACCATTCCTCCAAGTATCACACATGAGAAGTTGTTCAGTGTCTGCAATACACAGATCCAACCACTCAAACTACAGAAACAGCTTGAAAATCATTCATTGAATGTAAGTTTGAGAAAATCGTACCTTGGAAGAGATATTGCCTTGAGTATCCTACATTGTACACAAAAAAAAGTATTGAGTAAAGAAGATAGACAATAGAGATGCTAATATACAAGTATATAACATACCGATAGATTCATCCGGCTATCCCTATCATCTTTCATTAGCTGGTTTGCAGCACCAACCTGCGGTGATAACACAAAGTCTAGTGGTTGGAAAACATATGACAAAGCTGACCATTTGCTGAGCAAACTACTTACTTGTTTGAGGAACTCAAAACCCACAAATTCTACTCTCCCTGTCACACTCGACACATTCTGCCTTACAGCTTCCAAGGTTGGTATTTCATAGTATCTTGGAAGAACACCAAGCAAGTAACCAACAAGAAAATGCCCAGATTCATGCTGCATACGTTGCAAACAAGTTACGTTTGCCACAAAAAGTCCTATTTGATTGATATGTTCTTATTACCAGACAACATTTATGATTAATTTCTTCAATCATCACTTTGCAACAATGTTAAGTTTAAGTTAACAAGTACAAGAATTCTCACCTGAACAACAGCGAACCAATCTTCTTCAGGTGAAGTTTTAGTTTCCTCCTCTTTGGAAATTCTCACTGAATCCTACAAATTAGTAAAAAAAATCACAGTTTTTGCTTTGAAGGTATATGAAACTACATGAGTCCAAAATTGAAAGTACCTCTTCGACATAAACAGATTCAATGCTTCTAGAGACCGAATCAATCAATGACCAAAGATCACTTTTGCTACTCATGTCTAATTTCTTCGGAAGCTAATCACAGAAAGAAAATAAGGAAAAAGACATGAATTAAAGAAAATAAGCATGAGAAAGAGATAAGAGAGACCGACCAATTTAGCAGAGCCAAAAGCAGATAAGCAGCCATGTTTGCTCTTGAGTTGCTTGACGAGAGAGAGAGCAGTTTCGTAATTGCCTCTTGAGAGTTCTTTACTCACTCTCTCGAGTGATCTCCGGCGGCGGTCCACCGGAGATTTCGCTCCGAGTACCATCACGCGGCTCGCTTGGAGATAAGAAGAAGAGTTCATATTGGTTTGGTTTTTTGAATTTAGGAAGAATGAAACATTGTGATTCAACAATTGGGGATGTAGCTCAAATGGTAGAGCGCTCGCTTTGCATGCGAGAGGCACGGGGTTCGATCCCCCGCATCTCCATATATATTTTTTTTTAAACTCAAAAACATACTTTATTTCTTGCGAATACTAAAAACCATACAAAGGTTTCTCTCTTTCCAACAGTGACATAAGCCATGATGGGGTACTACAATCTAAAGAAGCAAAGTAAAGAGGGAAAGAACTTGTAGTCTTGGCAATGAGGTCTGCACATTCATTTCCTCGCCTACCAATAAACCGAAAAGATGGTGTAAGTTGTCCTCTCCGCGGGCCTAAGATCTCACTAGTGTAAGTCTTCATTCTTAGCCAGGCAGAAAGCTGTTTTATCGCTTGGATGAGGGTTTGCGAATCACTCTCAAAGAGAACTTCCACAAAGCCTA